TTGCACCCCTTAAGTATCTTCAAAAATCATTTGACTTTCTGCTAAAAAAGAGTTGCGAATGCCAAGAATTATAAAAATAACGTAAATCCAATAATTACAAAATTGAATTATTTGATCTAGTGTAAATTGGAACTATTGCCTTGAAAATGTGACACAATAGATTTGACTGTTACAACCGTCAATGTTACGAATTTGTCAGAGGTTATATACCAAAATTCATGTATTACTATTTTCCCGGAAAACGGGAAACATTTTCCAAAGGCGGGAATTCCTCTCATATAACAAAAAATATTTGAAAATCCACCCTTTGTAAAATGTAATGTAAATGTAAATCAAAATAGAAAAAAAATCCTAAAAGGCTAAGCTTGTGCAAAATGGACGTAATTAACAAAAGACAAATGTAAAGGTTGTCCAAAATGTTGCTCTCGTGTTCTTGAAAGGGATGTGAAAGGGCTTGGGCCACAATTTTGAGTGGGGGAGGTTTGTTTTGCATAACACATCTTGTAGACTATAAATCTTTGTTACTTCGTCGTATGTGTGAAATGGCAACGGGCCCATGATTCATATCCATATAAAAGGGGATGAGACACAGACTTTTCATTAGACACCCATTTCATCGTCATTTCATCACAACCTGTTTTGCATAGCAAAATAACTGAAAACTCATTTTCCATTTATTTTCTTTTAAAAAATAATTCAAATCAATGTTTGTTTGTTTGTGTCCCTTAATGTACAACAATTTTAGAAATTTCAATAACATTTTCAACATTTTAGTTTGTGTTACAGAAATTGTTTGGTCTACATTTGGTTTGCTGCCGGGAGTGAGGATGTACTTGGCCGAAAATGTCCCACCACATTAAAGGTAACTATACAAATATTTGTGGCAACAACACAAACACTAACTGCAACCGTAGGGCACAAACAGACAGATTTAGAACTGACCCTTGGTCAGCTACTTTATACAGACTACCAATATCCACTGTGACGAACTGGACGCTGCTATGGTGACCCCATCGTGTATGAGTAAAGGATTGCGTCGCTGTTACGGGTTTCATTGAAAGTTCGGTTCAGTTTGGGGTTTCCATTGAGTTTCAAAATGTTGCCAGTTATTAAGTGGGAACAAATACCAACTACAACCGTTTCAAATAGTGGCTACATTCGTGGTGGTCCATCCGTTCAGTATTTACTGCCCGCATTTTTATTTCTAAGCAATTATCTTTTGAAGCATACAGCCGTAGTGATGAATCTTCATATGCGAGTGAGGATGGGCTAAATACTGTGGGTCTGTCTAATGGTCAAACACAAGAGCAAAAAAAAAACATTAAGTACTTCTCGGGTATTAGTAAAATGTTTGGAATGTTTAATGAAGCCACTATAAATCAAGTAAAGTACAATGAAAGTTTGCAAATACTATTCACATACATAATGCCCAAAACTAATGCCAGCAAAACTATTGGATACAAAGTACTTTGATTCTACATGCTACCATGGCATTTAATAATTGTCATCTAAATCTGCTAATAATGAGTTTTATGAATATTTTCGAAATGTGTAAACAAGAAAGGATATACAGACGTCATAAATGTCCAGCAGATATTGGACTATGATGAGATATACACAGGGCTTATTATAATACTAAATTTAGTTGAAGAGTATATATCTCACAAATTCCGTCCCGACGAAAAAATTGGCTATTTTTACCACCAAAAAATATAAAAATAAAATATATATATATGTATATATATTCTGGGGTTTCTCATGGAAGCATTTTTGTTTTATTATTTTGTTTTATTTTTATTGATTTTTATATTAACATTATTGTTTTATTAACATTATTATTTTTTTTAATCAAATGCCGATAACACTTCTTTTTTGTCCTCTTCAAAAAAGGAAGTGAAACTAAGCCTTGGTTAAAACCGGCACTAAATCCTTTTATAGGTTGGACAACATTAGGAAGGAACATTGGGATCTCAAATTATCAAAACATTAATAATATATTTAATAAATATTTACTTCAATAAAATATTATAAACAAATGCCAATAGATAAAACCATACCTTCTATTGCGTAAAACCACCAAACACTAATTGCTTGAACTACATTTGTCAATTAATTAAAATTTATTAAACGTTATTCACAGAATGATGACCAGTTGAATAATGAAATTGCAACTACCTTAAAAGATTGGATCCGAACACTATGTCTCTTTCGACTGAAATGGGGTTTTCTGATTGTGATGATCAATGTTAAATTTATTATCGGAGTGAAATCCATATTTTTGACATTAGATAATACCTTGAAACCGTCATTACGAATGACTTAAGGAAAATTCTGAAGCTTAGAAAAAGGTTGGAGAGTACACCAGAAATGCAACATACCTGATTCCCAGAATACAAAACGAGTTAATAGAAATAATACTTCTAGATGTCTATTTTTGAAGAAGTGAGAAGTTATGTATTATTTTCGGTTTTACTTGCAAGTAGAAGGATTAAAGGGAAAATAATTATTGACCGTCATAATAAACCCAATAACCAGGTTGGGTTTGGATCCAACATTTTTGAGAGGTCAAGGATATGACGAGCGTCTACCATGTCCGGCAATTATGATGGAGTATACTTTCATTGATCCTCTCACATTTTAATTTAAATTTAAATGCATCGTCGAAGATTCGATTATTAAGTTGTAAATCTTGATTTATATTTTGAATTTTCATGATTAATTTTTATTAGGTGTAGTAGTAATATTGTCACGATTTCTAAAAAAACATATACGAATTCAACATGTTTGCAAATGATCTATATTAAAATAAAATATTGTATTATAACTTAATCATCTACTCGTATTATATTAATTTTTATTAGTGCTCTCGAATATATGGTATATATATGGTACTGTATTTAAAAATTATACAATTTTCTATGAACATAAAATGGGTTGATTTTTGATACTATAATGAAAAAAGGCATCCAATCCAAACGAGATTTTGAGAAGAATTGTTTGTTTTTCCTTTGAACATCTTCCAGTCGAATTAATAGCAAATTCTAAACCAAGTGCCAGTGAAAAATGCTTCGAAATGTATGTTTTTTGACAGATCTCAAAGCAACATTTCTAGATCTTATTAACGGTGAAACATTGCTGAAGAGCGAAAATCAATATTTTTAGTAGTTCAAGTGATAATCAGTACATTTTATGTGAAAATCCACCCTAAGTCGGATTTAAACAAATAAAAACATTAGCAAATAATTCAAAACCCAGATAGGGGTTTTCATCTACCATCATAAGATTTCAGATTTTGGCAGTCCCAAATGGTTCGTGATTTTAGTACTGCACAGTGTTAAAAGTTTATGTGGCCTTAAGAGTTTGTAACGCCACGCAATATCTCGACTAGCTAAATAAAAATGGCTATAGGTGTCCGCCCAACTGTCCATTATATTTTGTAAACAATATACAGACCACAGTTATGGACCAATCGTCACGAAATAAGCATGTAAATGCGGTTCTCGCTAAATAAGACAACTTAATTTTGTTTTTACCTGTTTGATCTAGAGGTTACAACAGCCATGTTATTGTTTGGATCTGGCCAATCAATAAACACAACTGTTCAAGACTATTCAAGACTTTTGTTGCGTATACTTCACTCAAGAAGGATATGTTGATAACTTTAAAAATATATAAAAAATCAAAAAAGGTTCAAATGTATCCGGTTATTGCTCGTGGGGTTAAACGAAATGAGTATCCGATACTGAACATAGATTTAGTACAGATATGGGCCATACTCCCCCATTGTGATTGAAATACTGCTCATAATAATACTTAATTCAGGTAAAGGTTCTAGGCCTGGTAAAAACACAATAAAATAACATAAAAATCTGAGGTTTAAAATATGTCGACGAATAAACAATGCATTTAAATGATTTGACTTGAATAATTTAATCTTTGCTTCACGAACCCACATGCAGTGCACGAATAAGAAAATAAGACATATTGATCTAATATTTATTTACTAATATTTTTATTTTCCATTTTCTGCTTCATTTATTTTTTTTCACTTCAATCATACATAACATTCATTTAATTTATTTGAAATGTTTAGGGTTTTTATTTTGTTATTTTTTCGTTTATATGAATATTTTTTTCTTTTTTATTTTATTTTTTTTGAGAGCCCACATAGAGGACTCTGGTACTTACAATAACTATTATATTTTAATGTAGTATTTTAGTAGGCATGTATGTAAGTATGTGTGTTTATATTTAGACTTAATATATTGTTATGTACACTTAGTATTATGGAACTAATAAAATTGTATTGTATGCATTCGTATATAGTTGATATATGTGGGAATAATTAATTATTATAAATATTATTGCACTTAATTGTAGGGTATGTTGCACTAAAAGTTATTGTAGATTTTCATTTACATAGAAACAAAAACAAATAGAAAATAATATATAATTGTTCAATATTATTTATGTAATTGAATTATTATTATTTTACTCTTAATTTTGATTTAAAATACTTGATGTTAACATCAAGTATGAGTATGTATATATGTATGTCTTTCATTGTTTTTCTTGGACATAAACTATCATCTCACATAACTAACGAATACTAATCATCACAAGTGTTATCTATTCGAATACTCTGCGTAATACCTTAGTTTAAAATATGAAATTAAAACTAAATAAAATTTACAAAAAACGGCTTCGGGCAATGGCTCCACCCACATCGCTTAATACTATTTGACAATCTTATTAGTAAACACTTTAAAAGTTTATTTCTCATTATTTTTGCTATATATTTGCTATTTTTAAACAAAAAAAGGGTTATTTACACATTGATGTATGTCCTAAAAGAAACATTGCACACTGGATTCGATATCTATACATGGAACCATAACATATCTCCGAAATTGGTATCAGTAATCTTAAATTTAGTTGTTTTTTTATTATTTACACAAAAGATGCTGGGATGCAACTTTTCTCATTGTTGGCGTCAACATTTATATGGGTGTGGGCATAACTGTATAGTCCTGATGTAAACTGGATTTTACAGAATCGTATACTGGTCTGCCGGTATCTTCGGGCAAAGCATAGACATCGGGTGGCACGCACAGCGATTGCAATTTAGAGATATATGAATCGAATGGTTCTGGATGAGGATAACCGGCAGGATGATGTACGGTGTAGGGATGATGAGCTGCTGATGATGTATGCGTTGGAGGAGGTGGTGGCGGCGGATGCATTCCACCAGGATGTGATGAGGTTAACGGATGCATAGAACTGCCATACATGGATACAGCACTACTTGCCGATATGGAAGTACTGGGCAAGGGACCGGGTGGTATTAGTGTTGGATGTGTTGCATAGGCTGAATGTTGATTCGAAACACCGGGTACGCTCGAGGTGGTTGTCAATGAACTACCTGATGGTGTACCGGTGCCATGACCAGCTGGTGGTATTCGTACATGTTCTAGAAGTGTAATTACATTATTGCGCAAACTTTCGTAATAATTATTCACATTGGATGAAGAAGAGGATGATGAAGCACCAGTTGTTGATGAATCGTAGCTGGAATTTACCGAAGAGGAACTAGCATTTCCTCCTGCATCTATGCCAGATGTTGTGGCGCTTCCTGGTCCTGTTCCACCTGCACCTACTCCTAAGTGACTGTTGATACTGGCGAAGGAGTTCGCGAGGCTGTTGGTGTTGCTGTTAGCGTTGCTGCCGCTGTTGGTGGAGTCCGCAATGGAACTGGTCGTTCCGCTGGAGGAGACTGCAGCAAGAGCTGCTGTTCCTCCAGCAGTGCTAGTCACCGAAGCGAGAGAACGCTGTTGATGAGCACTCAGCGGAGAAGTCTCCTGAAATGAGAAAAACGGTGGGCAATATGGTAATTAATAAAAGTGTTATTGAAATTTACAAAAATAAGTTAAAAAAATTGAAGTTAAAAATGTTGTCTTTCATAGACATTGTGAAATGTGCATGCTTTTTGAATTTTAAAACGTTTTTATCTCAAAAATATAAAGTAGGCATAGGAAAGTTAAATATATATAGAGAGCAAATAAAAGGAAATGCAGTCAAAATCATTTACAATGACCAACAATAGACCGACGAAATAAATAGCTAAAAGCGATAGTCTGCAGTAAAAAATGTGCCTCATCAGTTTTAGACTCCCAGTTTATTTGGAAGAAATGAGTTTTAGAAAATTTGGATTTCATTTAGAAATTTCCTCACAAATACAATGGAAGTAATCGATTTGTTCCAAACATTGGGTCTTTCGATTCATTGAAGATAATTGTGTAAGGCATGCGCGTATACAATATGGGGCAATATTATTAAGTTGCTAACTCATATAAAAAATAATGTGAAATGGTGGAGGTGATTCAATTTGTTCGCCACATAGTCTCCCCTAATATTAGTCTTGCATAATTAAGTTGTCTAAAATGTCCCAGTAGTAACAGGATACAATGTTCATTATAGTTTCCTCCCAGCAACTAATATTGCCAATCGAATATATTTCTTTTTGTCATAATAGATCACCAAGAAACCAATCGAATTAAATTTAATTCAATTTTATTGGTTTCGTCGAGGATGGCGACAACAACACAAACAAAATGAACCCATAAATAAATAAATAATGAATTCACATATCGACATTATGTGTTGTGGGTGTAAGTGGATATATACAACATTTATGTACAATCAATGATATACAAACAAAAAAACATTCATATTTATATATTAACATATATGTATAAAGAAATACATTTATATATTCACATATTGTTACCAATAAACAACAGACAACAAAGTGTTCTCATGTAAGCATGCACACACGCATATCGTATATATTTGAGTAAGTATATACCCACATCGAACAAGATGAGAAGAAAAAGAGAAATTCCACATATATGTATATGGGAGATGTGAAGTGGCGGGGGACTATGTAAAAGAAAATATGAACGGAAAAGAAAAGTAAGTAACATAGAAAAAGGGAACAAATTGTGACGCCCTTTTCCATTGTTTGTTGAGCCAAATGGAGAAAAAAGAACGTTGGAGCTATAGTTTTTTCATCCATACACACACACACATGTTGAAAATTACACATACACACACACACACTCCAGCAACATTTCCCATGAGTTAGTGGGGGGTTTTGCCTATATTCTACAGGGATGTTGCTACCCATAGCGTTCATTCATTGGTATTTGTTGGCGTGCTAGGAGCCTCCCGCAAACACAAACACACACAGAGTACATACGCATACACTGACAGTGAGAGTAAATTCTGAATATTTCTATATGAAGCCTGCCCTCTTGGGAGGCCAAAGGTTAAACGGTGATGATAAAATAGTCTCAAGTGATGGCAAGAGAAAACGTGAGCGTACATGGTGTGATTTTGGGGAGACAACAATTTCTATTTGTTGTTGTTCTCCTGCTATGTATATGTATGAGTGTTGGCTAAAGGTGTGGTATTGGTGGCTGTTTGTTTCTCCATTTTTTGGGAGGTGGAGTATTGACGTTTTGTTGTTGTCGTTCGTTCGTTCGTTGGCGATTGGAATGGGGAGCCAGGGGAAGCTCCAATTTTCCATTGCATCTTTACGCGCATGGACATTTAGATGTGTATTCATTACCTTTAGGGATTTCTACAATATTTAGGGGTTGTTGCCTTGTTTGCGACTAAGTTGTTGTTGTAGTTGCTGCTGTCGACTGGAAAGCCACAGCTGCATAAGAAAATTGCATTTGCAAAGAATTCTCATTGGTAGACCTCAATTCAATGATATTTTGGTATGTGGTGTAAAACGCCATTTTGAAAATGTCAAGTGCTATCTAGGTGAGGGGGAGACACAACTAGGGAGAGCCACGAAGCCCACATATAACGAACACATACTACCGATAAATATTTGTTAATGATTTTACAATTAATTAAAACATTAAACATTATGCTCTGCTTTGTACTTTTGTTCCCGATTTATAAACTAATTGTCATATTTTTAGATTCCTAACATATTCACCAAAAATGCTAGCAGACTAACTTCCTCAGACAAATGAAAAAAAAACTTTCCCTTAAAATACCAAAAAAAAAATATTATTAATTGATAAACTTTTTCTGGGGTGCTGTTTGGCTAGCACGTTTCTTTTTTTCGCCTCGCCTATGCCACAAAAACCCACAAAGTCAAGTTAGTAATAATTTAAATAACAACAGCGTCTCAGAGCCAAGGCGGCGAATATGACGGAGGGGGCGATTTGGCAAAAATTAGAACTTTATGTTTGGGTTTTTGAGTTTAGCGAGTTTGGCACAGAAAAAAGTTACGGCGGCGCGTTAAAACAAACTTTGTTTTATTGTTAGAAAACTCCAACTTTGCCGTTCGTCGGTCGGGGCGAGACGGGGGCTAAACAAAAGTTTGGATTCAACAGAAACAGAAATCAAGACTTTTGAGACGTCCTTGAAAACTAATTTAAAAGAAAGTTTAGACAAACAGCCATTCACAAACTCACACGGATACTTTCTAGCGCTGTTGCAAACAACTAAAAAGCCGGAAGTAACAATGGCTAAAGAACGAAAGAAAGTGCAAGAAACCGGAATGAGTGACAAACTCGCAGAAATCAAAACAAAGAAGAATATTTTAATTGGAATAAATTACGACAAACAGCAAACAACAGGCAAAACAAAGAAACAAGACCAAAAGGAATACCAAAACAAAGGCGAAAAGGAATTAAACTAGGAAATACTTATGTTGCCTCAACGAACCTGAGCCTACGTACCCTATCGCTGGTGTTCAATTGTGACTCCATGGCATTTATGTCCGACTTGAGACGCATCATCTGAGACTCGACACGGGCGTTTTCACGCTGCAGTTCTGTGATTTCAGCCTCTAAAGTATTAAGATCCTCATTTGTTTCATTACCAGTTGTATTGGAATGTATACCTGCTGTGGCGGAGGATGATGACGATGAAGATGCGGCGGCACTGACCGACTGCGACAGGCTATCGGGCAGCATACCAGCCGCCACACTGCTAGAAATGCTGGACGAGCTATTGCCATTGCCCAGCGGAATATTCGATGACGATGAGGAGGCTGAAGCGGATGCTGAGACAGCAGCTGCTGCGGCTGCGGCAGACACTGAGACCGATGAGCCACCACCCACTGCATTCATCATCATGTCCATACCTAGAGCGAAACGGGCAAGAAGAAAAACAACACATGACACATTTGTAAAAAAGTAGCATTTCGGATTTGAGGTGAGCGTGTGCTAAACAATTTTCATTGTCTTTGGTCGAGGTGTGTCGGGGTGTGAAACAAAATAGAGAAATCATTTGAACTCGAATTGGCATCGCTTACCTCACATCTCACATTGTCAACCCGTAGGCACTTGACTTGGTTTCAATTTGGGCTGTACGTATGATATGATTGGGTCTTATTTTTGTTTGCTTTTGTTTGGCTTTACATAAGTTTTGTAGTTCGGATTTGTTTGTTATTGTGGTTTAGTTATTTACATGTATTTTGTCTGTTTAGAGAAGATATTCCGCACCGATACAAAAAGTCGCATAATCTAAAATAAAAAAAACAAAACAAATCATCATCAAAAAACGAACGAATGAACGTGGGTTAGAGAAGGGTAGGAATAAAGGAAAAAGAATTCGATGGTTTTTCCACTTCAAATTTAAACGAAAATACAAAGAAAAAACACAAAGGTGTTAGTGTAAGAGACTAAATGACGGAGGTGTGATGTTACCAAAAGCAAAAACATAAACAAAAACAAAAAATACATACGTGTTTTGTTTAGAATAAAAATTTGTTAGCACACGCACACAACTTAAAAAAAAATTTATACTCGTATATACATTTTTACGACAACAACTATGAAATAATGTCTAATCACAAAAGACTCAAAAACAAATTTTAGAGTTAAATTTAGAAGAGTGACATCGCTAATATTACAAGTAATTTTTATTCGTTTTAATATTTATTGATCTCGAAGGATGCTCTTCATCCATTCCTAACGCAAAATTGGATCAAAAATTAAAAAGTCTATATCGGTATTGGTTAAACTTCCAAAAACTAAAGGATTTTAATGAGAAACGCGATTCCGATTAAAAATACATATTCACAGGTAGCAGAAACATATTTTGTATGTTATATTGGCCAACATATTATTCAACTTTTGTTGGTCATTTTGACATTATTTCATACAGTATATTAGTAATACTACAGCACTACATAATAAAAATACAAATTAATAGTTACCTGTATAGCCTTTGGGATACACCATTGTAACCTCATCGAATTTGGGCTTTTTGATAGCTTGTGATGCTGATCCACATCCTGGTGAAAAAGAGCGAAAGTAGCCCTTGGATTCTAGATCTTCTGATAGAGTAGTGGCATACGTACCATCAAACTTCATGGCAGTTGCCGCAGCCACAGCGGCTTTGTGTTGTTCAACAGTGCCTCCAGCTTCAAGGACACGCATTTTATTGCGATTGGCAATGGGACAGCCAGATGCACTATAAAATACAGCCACACACATAACAAGAGTATAAATAACACAAATCAAACTGACTCCTCTTGGTGAATAGCTTACCTTCTGTGGGATAAAAATTTACCAGTAGAATGACCAGATCCATCACAACCTGGTATGGGACACCTAAGAAAACAAGAATTATTTTGAAACACTCTTTATTTTATAAATTTTTCCCAACACATACCTCAATGGTTCCGAGTCCTGACCATCGCGTGGTTTACTCTTTGGCTTATTGGCTCTGGGACAACCAGACAAACTACGATGCGAAGAATAATTACCAGTTACATGGCCAGAGCCATCACAGCCGGGCGTTGGGCATTTCAGTTCTTGTGAATGGGGTTGCAAATGATTGCGATCCGTCCGTGGACAACCCGTCAAACTGTTGCAAAGAAAATTCAACATTAATCTCTTATCTCTCACACTGAACAGCACATGAATGCCTGTGCAAAATCGAATTCTTCAAAATTGAAAGTCGCTCTTTAATCCCTTCAATCAATTGGCAATTGAAAAGGAATTTCAAATTGTAAAAATAGTTTTGTTAAGGGATAAGAAAGTTCATCTGCCAGCTAGCCAAGTGGCTGAGTTATCAGGCAAAACAAAGGACTGGTCATTGTTTCATGGCTGAGTGGATTTAAAAACAATCGAAAATCTCAAACAATATAACAATTGGAAATTTCCCAAAAACAACTTTTTAAAGCAATAAACCAGAAATTAATGGTGGATAAGGTGGAGGATTACTTTCATTTTAACATACAAATTAGATTTTTAGTTTGCAGAAGGACTCTCTCTCTCACTTCCTCCCTCTATCTATCTGGGTTTAGATTAACCTTTATTCTCGAAGGACTGTAAATTTTATGACCGTCCTGTTACGGGTTGTAGCCACACATCTTAATAAATATTAAAATCTAAACGACAATGTGTCAAGGATAACCCTTGCAAAAAGGACAATGAGAGGACCTTAGTGTTGCATTGTTAACACAACACAACTACACACAACATCATCATTTTTCATTATCATAATAATGATTTTTTGTTTTCACTCCGGCCATAAAACAAAATTAGACGGAAGGATATGAAGAAGAAGAAAGAGTCCTTATACACACACATACACACAAACAATAATAAACTTAATAATAGTTTTTGCATTAAATATTGGTTGAAAACTTGCCATTCAACTAACCTATCCTTTGACTTATCATGTTGTGGTATATGCTGGGGCGGTGGCATGGAATAGCAGGATGCTGGACTTGTCGAATAACCACCCGATACTGGAGTCGGATATCCGCCTGGACCAACAGCAGTGGCATAAGGATTGCTACATTGATATGCGGCGGCTGCACCATAACCATGATAGCCAGCTGGGGGATAATCGGACTGTACAACCATACCATAGCCAGGATGGGGAGAATAACCTGCAAGCAAAAGTCACCGAGAAGGCCGGAAAAAAGACAAGACAAAACACCATGAATACCCTTTCCTGATGTGCGCTGCCACCACCATCATCATCGTCGTTGTCGTCATCATCTTCAACGACAACTACTTACCACTGGGATCCCGATAACTGTCAATGTAATGAGAGCCACCACTGTCCGGGGTTGATTCACGACTATAGGGCCGGGGACCACCAATATGACCAACGAGACCAAAGCCTAAAGGACGAGTAGGACCACTAAAATCAACAGGTTCCATGTGAGGAGATCGAGGCGTACCATTTGCTGCCGATGTCGGCAATCCGGGACCAAATCCTTGGGGATGGGCACCTACCACAACTCCATCGGGATGGGCTCCATACTGGGGACTGGTGATGATACTGTGCGGCAATCGACTGACTGTCAGATCCAAAGTTTGACCCTGTGGACTTGGCACTTGGGGACTGGCTACATTCGGACTGGCTCCAGGCTGGGGACTACCTGCACCTATTCTCTGGCTATACTGGTTGTGAGAAGCTGGCGAATTGAAACCCTGAGGACTGGACGATGTCACCGACGTGGATCCTGATAGATCTACCACTGGCGCTGCGGAAGGTGATGGTGAACCACTTTGCTTGGGTTGCTGCTGTTGTTGCTGACTCTGTTGAGGATGTTGCGACTGCTGAGCGGATGTCTGCGACGGTTGCTGCTGGGTTTGTTGGTTTTGATATGCCGCCGCTGCAGCAGCTGCCTGAGCAGCAGCCATCTTCACGGACAAATTTATGGCCGAAAACCCGGGTGGCAAGGGGCCCATGCTGGGATCATAATGGTACATGGGCCGAGGATAAATAGGACCACCGTTTGTCATCTCATCGTGCTCCACCTTGGCCATTAGCAGCTGTTGGTCTTGCAAGTACTTCTGTTGCTGAGAGTGGATGTCATCAGCCGACTGTGAGAGATATGGATACATGTTGGCAGGCCTTTGACCACCGCAGTTGGGGTCATAACGTTCGAATGCGGTGCTCAAGCCGCTGACACCTCCGGAGGGTGTTGACGAATCCACATAGGACGAAGACACACTGGACGATATCGATGTTGGAGGATTGGGATCATAGCTACGTGAACTGGGAGAGATGTTGCCACTATTGCCGTTGGACAACATATCACTGGCGCCATATGCCGACGGTGGTTTGCTCAGGCTTTCGCTACCATTCGAAACGTGATGGCCATAACGCATATGCTCATACTGCTGTTGTTGGTGTTGTTGCTGCTGCTGTTGTTGTTGTTGTTGAGGGTCGGCCTGCTGTTGTGCATTGGCTTGCTGTGAATGGTGGTCATTGTGATAGGACTCACTCACGCCATCTCCACTTGCCGTTGTATTGCCCGCAGACATCATCAGACCGGAAGAACCCTCAATGAATGGACCACGTTGCTGGTGCATTGTTTGGCTGTTGTGAGGACTTTGTTGATCGCCAATGGCATGTGACTGCATGCCCACGAAACGATTCATATCGTTGTGTGACTGCTGTTGTTGTTGTTGCTGCTGCTGAAGTGTTCCGCTTGTTGTGTTATTGCCAGCACCACTTTGGCCATTACTGCTGCCATTGGCAGCTGACACCGAGGAACTTGTGCTGTTGGAGTTTGCACGCCCCGAGGCATTTGTGTTGTCGTTCGATAGATACGAATGCATTGGACTTTTATTGTATTCGGATTTAATATTTGGCACTGGACTGAACTCGGACTTAATGATGGGCATATTGTTGCCGCTACTAAAGTTGTTGTTATTGCTGCAGCTGCTGGTATCCTGGGATGGACTGCTGTTTCCGTTACAACTTGTACTGTTACTCAAATATTGGATCGAAGAATCTAAAATGGAAAAGTACAAATTTGCAAATTAAGAGGGAGAATCTATAATTTTCTGTTTTTTTCTAGTAAGTTGTGGAAGTAGAAAGTGGGGAAATAATGAGCAATACTAAAGGATAATAGCCGACCTTTATTCAAATTAGAATCAATGCACTGAGGTTCAGTTACATCCCCGCTATTGAACAGCAATTTCAATTGTTTTCTGGCTAAACTTTTTGCAGCTTGCGGACAACCGGATAAACTGCGATGAACACTGCGATGAGGTTGGACATGGCCACGACCATTACATCCGGGAGTGGGACATTTTATAATTTGTTCGTGTAAAGCCAATACTAAATTTTGGTTGGAGGAAAAGAAAACGTGGGGTATGTTCATTCAGAATCATCAGATACGAATATAGATATCTATTACACCGAGAAAATAGACGAAGATATAGGAAAATTGGGGAAATGTCTCCGAATAGGACAACCTCAAAGGGAGAGTACTACAAATAGTTTAGAAGAAGGAAGGTATCTACAAGATCGAAGATTACCATGCATTAGACACACACACACATATATATATAAAAATAGAAAGAGATTAGTTTGTAGAAGTTACACACACACATGCTATGGTTTAGTAGAAGTGACAACGAGACAAAGGGATCTCAAGAAGTTTTTTATTTGAGGAGAGTAGTAGTAGAGAAGAAGATTTTGAAGTATTTGAACTTACATTCCGATGTGACCTTATCGCGTTTTGGACAACCTGATAAACTGTAATTGGTGAAATGGATTTGTTTTTATTTTCATTTTCAAAACGCTGAGTCGAAAATAACAATTAGAGTTATCAAAAGAAGCTAAATATGGAAATTTATTTTAGCTATTAAGGAATTACTTATTTATATATAACAATTAAACAGTTAAAAAATTGGTTATTTTATTTATTATTGTTATACTTATAAACTTTATTTGAATATTTCTATATATATTGAAATTATTTTGCGATGCCACTTTCTGTTCTGTAAATATTTTGTATGAAATATTAATTTTAATCGAATATCAAATATTAACTTGTTTTATATTTTTTTAATTATTTATAAATTTTATAATTTATTAATTATTTTTTCTCTTTTGTAAAAATATAGCTTGATTTGATAACTTGTAATTGAAATATTTAAGAACGAAAATGATACCTTCTATGATGGGAATACAATCCTGTTATATGACCCTGACCATTACAATTGGGAGTGGGACATTTGTTACCATCTAAAATTGAGCAAATAAAACACATCAGTTGGGGACCAACACAAATTTGCTAATTCTAAATATAATTTCCTAATGGAAAAATGAAATTAAAATATTAAAAAAATAAACTCTTCCTGCTCTATTTCCGATACATTCAAACCATACCAAATATCTTTTCCTATACCAACACATATTTATACTTTAAAAAAACGATACTCCAGAGGATGGGAGGTAAAATTCTCAAACGAACATACATATATATATTTTTATATTAAATAATTAATTAAAATTTGATGGAAAACAGTTTTTGAATTATTTACATATATTTACATCGTATACTTGTCAAACATACATACATTCATATATAAATAATCACATAACCCCAGGCCCTTGTTTTTCGCTTGTATTTGATCGAAATGTCGTAAAAACCTGTCTAGCGTTTTTTAAACAAGTTTAACAAAAAGTCTTTGCAACAATCTCTCTGAGTGCATGAGTGTGTGTCTGAGTGAGTATGTGTGCGCGTGTGTTTGCTTCTAATGTTGTCGCATCCTTATTATAAAATTCTAATAATGTATGAGTAGTGAAAACAACGAAGGCAATGTCATACTTTTGAAAGGGTTCTTGTAAAAAAATTAGAAAGTATTTTCTTGTCTGCCACTCAAGCTCAAAACTCATGCACACACACACACACAAATATTTCTTGTATGCTATCGTATAGAAAGAAAGGTGTAGTTAGGAATGTGTTCGTATTTTTTATTTTTTTTGTGGAAACTTATCTTCTATATTGAATTTAATTAAAACCAAAATAACCCTTTCCCTCTAAACAGGAAAATTAACCTCTTCAGTAGCGGTTTTTCGTTGCGATTAATAAGACAGTTCATATGAAATTCCAGCTACCATTAGATTTGAAGCAACATCTCTTAAGGTGGAGGTAATTTTTAATATGCAACATATCTCCGCTGAGAAGTAAATTTGAAGTGTTCAAAATTTATTTTGAATCGGAGCAGTTTTGTCCAATACATTTTATGTTAGACAGGTAAGACTATGTAATTATCATAACTTGACTCATTAGTTGAAAATAATATTTCAACTATGTTTTAAACGATTTTTTAGTATACTTTTTAAGTATATTCGATAATTTGCCTTCATACCACATATGATATTATTAAATTAAAGCTTCGATAAAACATTACACAATAGCAACCGAATATTTTTATATAGTCAGTTCTCAGTGGATAAAAAATAGATACTAAGAATTCTAAGATCCGTATTTAAATCCCATTTTGCTGTGTCGTGCTATGGCACCAAAGGTAAGATATTGAACGTTTTGGAAACTTTGTTTCTTGGACATATAGTAAAGCAGCAGAATTTTATAAATCGGATACACCTACTTACGATGTTTTGAGCTTTGAATATTATAAATATCGTTAATAATTATGAATTATGTTCAATTCGATCGGAAAATCAACATAAAACCGTTAGTAGATTTGTGACAGTTCACATTAGCTAGACAATACAAGTCGGATCAAATATAAAATGCCCTCAAAATTTGGATCCACAATTTTATACCTTTTACTTAAAAAATAAATATTCCATATTACAATGCGTTATGCTCCTGGTTTAAAAATCTTCAAAACTCCCCTTTCCCAAACTTTTTTGTCACAAATCTTAACTGTATACGCAAATATTTTATGATATGTCAATCATTTTGAAATCAGCTACTCACAACCGCCAGTTATAAATCCAAACCATCAGCTAATTATCCTATCGAGGAAAAGAAAACTCCACCATATTCTTAACAGTGAAAAAGGTCTAAAAATAACTCCAAAGTTAAGTAGCAGCCATAACAACAAATAATGATGATATTTTTGTTATGAATTATTAGTATTTTGGAATTGCCTCCATTGTTGTTGTTTTTTTGTTTTTTAAGACCTAGAAAACTATTTAAAAAGTCATTGAAATTTTTACCAGAAATGTATAAGCATTAAGAATAGGCTTTATGGTGTATACAATCGTACATACATATAAAACCCTTCATTTGCATCCTTTGTTCTTCACATATGTGTAAGAGTGTCGATGTGTGTGTGTGTGTTTCTAAAATAGCTGCCATAATGACAAAATAAATATGCGTAAGTGGTTCATGGAACGTGTGTTTAGCTACTACACAACCAGAATAATTTTTATTGTTGTTCGGTTTTACCAAGAATTTCTTTAATTTCCCCCTTTACTTATTCCTTTTTTGCTGAGCTAAATACGCGTAGCTGCCTTTTTAGTCAAGTCATTATAAGATAGACATTTTGAACTCCTTACCTCGTTCTCCCTCCCCTTGGCATTGCTTTCTGTTATGTCTCTAAAATTTATATCCTGGTTATGAATGTGACGCACGGAAATTAGTGTGACAAAATTGTTATTATTGAAGTTGGCTAAATCATGTTTTGGTTAGAACTACTACAACAACAATGGTCTCTATTGTTTTTCGCAGTAAAGCCCCAGCACTTGCAGTCGGCACAACATTATGATTTTAGTCATCTTAGCTATGCCTGACTGCTTGAGAACTTCCTTTATTTTTACATTACAACTAGGCTGTCGTTCTCTGAGCAATTGTCAAAGGGGAGCAAACATTAAAAGCTTTGACTTCAATGTCTTCTTCGAGTGTGTGTGTGTGTTTCCAACCAGCTAAATGCCTAGCTGTCTGCCTGTCTGTCCTCGCTTTGTTGTCCTTTGTATTGTCATTAATATTTAGTTTTGATGCCATACAACTTGTCTATGTGCGCGTTCTAAGTGCTGGCAAAATGTGCAAATAATAACAATACTTATAATTATAATGCGTGTGTAAATAGGTTTAACTGCCTTCGAACACACACACACAAACATATGTTTGGGTGGTATTTGCAATAACCTTTTTGTATTTATATGTATATCTGTCATCTCGAAATTTATATGTGTATACGTGCGTGGGCAAGGTAAGTTTTATAGGAAGGGAAATGTACTTATTGTTTCTTTTTGTGTTTTTGGATAAATGTATGTCTAGGTTTTCTTTTATACGTGGCCCCATAAATGCTAATGGGAAACGACTTTGTTGTTTCACTGTAGCATGAGATAAATTGAATACGACGGCAATCCTGATTGTCTTATTACCTTAATTACAGTCAATAGACATGGGAAGGGGTAGTATTATATGTAGCAATAATTCAAATAGTTAATGGTGATATTCTGATATGAGGAACAGTTTTTCGAGCTGGAGTAAAAAATCAAATATCCTTGCCGAAGGAAAAGAAACTGGCAAAACTTTTAATTTCGTTTTTTTCGAAGATTAATGGAGGTTCTGTAAAAGAGCAATAGTTTCTAATCGACGATCAATGTAAGTAAAATAAATAGACCGATATATTAGAGCAGAGTTTCCAATCAATAGATAACTATAGAAATGCATCCCACCATTTAATAATATGGGCTCATCCACCAGAAAAATGGACAATGTTGAATTTAAATTGCATAATATATAAAACATTATCTTTATTTAAACAATATCCATTCCACGACAACTAATCATGTAATTGATCGTACAAGGGTCCCAGAAATACTTCAAAAAAATGCACAAAATAATATAAAATAGTCAAGGTGTTGTTGGTAAAAACTGCTGATTACAATTTGGAGAATCGGTGTCCGAGACCACCTAGAGATTGATCTGAAGTCAAAACAATCACTAAATGTCTTAATAAATTTTAAGAACTGTTCGTCAGTAACCCAGAATGACAAACTACGGAGCGAATTACAAATTTACAAGAAATTGTTATAAAATATAATTCTGTGGATAATTTATTATTAAAATTTCGTGAACAACGCGTGTTTAAAGTCTGTAAATAATGCCGATTTTAATTTTGGCATTTTGGTTTCATAGAATAATATTTTTCAACAAAATCGAATTTGTTGTAGTTTCATACTACGCAATTTTGGATATTTTAGAATTTTAGAAATTAATGTACAACAGATTGATGTTCATAAGGCAAGTTTCGGGACCACAAATCAAAGAAGTAAACAGAATTTTCCCAAAATATCTATCTATCAATATGTGGAGGACTGCAAATTCGGACCTCAGTTGCGAAATCGAAACAATTATTGTATGTTATTTACATATAAAAGTTGAAGACGCAAGGTAGATCCACAACCGTAAAACTCGCTGAAGAACTTCCAGAATTGTTTAGCTATTAACATTTAAGTTAATTTTTCATATATATACTTGGATCATCGATTTACACATTCACTCTCATCTTCACTATTACATTTATGTTTTATTATTTAACGCATTACCCTTATCGCCATTTCCTAACATGTATCTTGGTAAACTCAATGCAACAAGAAGTTAAGCACAAGTTTACGCCAATTCGTTTTTTGAAAATTCAAATAAAAAACAACATAAATTCCAAAAGAAAACAAAATAGAAACAATAAGAAAAAGCTTTAAAATAAATCAAACTTACCACGATTTAAACTGCTCGGTGAATAGGTGGGCTGATTAATCACACTGCTACTCGATGGCATATGCGATTCATTACTGCCAGTTACCATAGATGCCGATACCGGCACATCTCTATGAATATCTTGCATTACCGAAGCAGCACGACTACCTTGACCAGCTGGTTGTAGAATTGTATATTGCTTTGTGGCCTCATCAGCGGATTTTGGTGGCATTTCCGTTTCAACTTTAACTGGTTCGACGGGCGAAATGCGTTCCATGGGACGGTTTGATAAGATCGAAGCTGTACTGTGTGAATGATAACCCATATACGAAGACGATGTGACATCTGTACTTGGATATGACGAGGTATAGGTACTGAGACTAGCATAACCATTACGTTTTATATCCTGCGGCGGCTTAAATGCAGAGGCCTGCGAAAATGCACCCTTCTTACGATCATCGTAGCCATTCGACGAAATATCCTGTTCCTGATTTTGTGTATTCAATCGAGCCTGATCATTCTCCTTTTGTCTGTGGAGGCGAGAGAATTCAAAGTGGTTATAAGTAACATCCTGAGAACTTGGAATGCTGTAATGTTTAGCTTCATACTTTTGTTTTTCCTCGAAGAGATTTTGAAATGCCGGAGGTTGTTCATCATGTTCGTTCAAGCGATAGGGGTTATATCGTACTTCTGGCCAACTACCAGATAGACTTTTCAGAGCTGCTTGAGTTTCTCGAATTAAAGTTTCATCATCTTCATCCTCATTTGTGGATTTTCCCATTGAATCAAGGCTACGTTTCTTTTGAGGCAATGGAAAACGTTCATCCACTTTATTGTTGTTGGTGTTGTTATTGTTGGCGTCATCGTCACGTGATGAGCGTTTTTTACGTTTAGCAGCTGTTTCGTATTCTGTGTCAACTTTGTTGGCGTTGTTATTTTCGAAAATTGTTGCCGTTTCCTTGGTTAAGGGACGTTTTAATAGAGCCATGTTAAAGCAGTGGTGGAGTGGCGACGGTTGATGGTGGGAAGTTCCTAATATTCCTGGTGGGTTATATTTTGTTAAATTGTCTAAAGATTATATTAAAATATAAGGGGCGTAAGGAAAGGTTAGCAAAAATTCATGGCAAAAACAAAAAATATGGAAATTGGTGGGAATCAAGGAATATGATTGGCAAAAATATGTTTTTTCATACCATCAAAATAAAAATGAATAACTAAATTGCTAGTAAATATTTAAAATTTGATATCTCATATACACAATAATTCTTGTTGCATTGAATTTTCTTCTTAGTTTCATTTTCTGCATTTGTATACAATAATTAATAAAGAATTACAAACTTAATTTTAATTACCTATGCGGGATGTGTTGTGAGTCTCATGAAAGTCAACAGCTTCAGTAATTCGACATAGTTTTGAATATTAAACTTTCACGAAGAGTTGCACAAGATTTGTTTGTTTTCACTTTTTCGAAAACTAAACTTTTCGTTATTTACGCTGACGGATGTCTCACTTAGTTTTATGGTCACAATAGTTTGTCTGTCGCACTTGTTTGTCAATTTAATATTGTTGATTTTTTTTCTTTGTTCACTCTTCACTTTTTTGGTGGAATTTTTATTGGAGTTTTGAACTTTTTTCTTTGGTTTTGTTGGTTATGGGCATAAGTTTTCTGTTTCTTTTCTTTTTTGGTTAAATGAATGCACTTATGGGCAAAACTTTTAGCGACTTTCCGTTAGTTTTGCTAGACGATGCGTTTGCCAAGTTGGTCGTGGGTCGGCTGATACTGAATGTCTTGCACTGGACCAACATTTGCAGACATAATAAACTTGTACTGCATCCATACACGGCGTTGGCCTTAAGATTTCCAATACCACTGGCTGGCACTTCGGCTGTTTTGAATTTTCACATAGAAATCGGTGGCAACAAAAACAATAACTGAACTTTTTTATTTAGTTTTGAAATTGTTTTCTTTTTTATTTTATTATTTTTATGAATTGTTTGGCTGGTTGACTGGTGGCGGTAGCTTTGGCCAGTAATCAAAGTTCAGTAGTTCTAGAATTGCTGGGAAAGCACCGTGCCTTTGATTGTGTGTGCGTGCGTTTTATTTTCTTTTATATTTCGAGGAAAACTGTAAAGCGCGCGGTGTCTCTACCTGTTCTAAGTTCACAACTTACTGGCATCAAACTGGCCGAGCAGAGTTTTCCAAAGTTGTCGAACTTTGTTGTCGAATGCAGCAGGCTGGCTAGCAGGCAGACAGCAGCATTCGTTGGCAGTGGTTGTGGATGAATGGTTGTTCGTGAATGTGCGCTCACATATGACAATCTTCTACACTCAATTCAATTGTATTTGTTTGGGGCTGAATATCCTTAAATGCCTGACTTTGCGTCTCCGTCTCTCTGGCGTTGTATTGACGTTGGCAACTTGTGACGTTCAACTAAACACACGTTAAGGAACACAGTGTCTTCTATGCTGGCCATAGACACAAAGACGACAAAATCCCAAACGCTGACAGCAGAGAGCCTGGCAGAGTCCTGCAGATGGTGGTGGGTGGTGGGGAGGTATTTTATTTTCGGAGTATACCCCATGCGTATTCCGTTTGTAGTAGCGATATCCTTCAGCACCCACACATACCATCAGGCATTTAATTTGCTGTATAACACATTCATGCTCAGTCGTGTTGTGCGCATGATCCATTCGCAGCTGGACTGTTCTATACTCCGAAAATTCCTTAGCAGCACGTGCAACGCTATATGAATAGCACTTTTGCTCTAGCCGAATTCGTTTCCCCTTAAATATTACACTGACGCTTTTGTCTTACAGCTCCTCCCTCTCCGCACTCAATATCCATTGGATATCCTAATGCACATACACCCATACACTCAACCTAAATCAGATGCATGCTTAATTGTGAATTCCTTCATGGTTGTGGCGATTTTGCCTTTTTTTTGGAAAACTGTTTTAAATAATAATCTCAGGCAAAAGAAAAAACAAAACAAGTCAAATAAGCGAATTTTTAAACACTTTAGCTTTTCAATAGTGAATTTCAAATCATCTATTTGTTTCTTAACGCTTAACTCAAAAACAACAAACCATCATCAGCGCCAACGTCTTATTCGTGTTAATAGCTGGCCGAAAAGAAATTCGAAGAACTAAAATTAATATCACACCGACGGATCAAGTCACCAGCAAGCAGTTTGGATTCATTGTCGCGTTTATAGTTGGGCTTCTTAACTTGACGAACACAGTCCGAAATAGTGCTAAGGAGTTGAAATAATATCATAGAATTGGCCTTGGATTAATTACCGCGTCAATCAGTAGCCTATTTAGGAATATTTCATCAAGTACATATACAAAATAAAATGATCTCGGCAGATATGTGATTTAGTGTAGTAAATAAAAAATCAATAATTGGAAAAAAATGTTTCAAAATTATTGTCATTGATTAATGAGTACGGTATCACAAAAATGGTCTCCGACGTCAATATCACACGAGGAGGATTATCGATCTTATATGTGTGCCACTCAAATAAATATATATATATATGACATATATCGGGCCGACATATTCCATTCTCCAGTACCGGTAGATTCACGTTATTCACATACACTGAACGAACGCCGTAAGCATTATGTGGAAATAACACATAACTTAATCACAACAATTTTTTTACAAATTACCCTTGTTACCTTTTTGTAGTATTCTAAGAACACTATTAGCGGTACAAATTAGAGAGGCTCAGAAAAACTCTGGGAATTATGTGTAAAGTTTAAAGTTTATTTGTACCTTTTCCCGTAACTTCACTTATGCTTACCAGTTAAGAAAAAATTCAACGTTTAACCTCTTCCCGGAAATCGACATATGTGACAAATTTTGAGATAACTTTGCGCATTAAAAACTTTGGCAGTTTGCCTATTTAAATCGAAAAACAATTGCGTATTCTGGTCGAAAATTAATGCTCGACACTGACTTTGTATGACAAATGTTACTGTGGATTTATTCATTTTATTGGAAAACGTACGAAAAAAACACACAAATAATGTGGTACTTTTTAAATACCAGGAGCAGGAGGAAACCTAAGCCGCAACAAAGACAACCCATCAATATTGACCAGAAAATGTGTCTTCAATGCACCATAGTTGTCGCCTACGGTGTATGTTTTATAAATCTTTATCATGGCAATCAACCTTCCTGGAAAATCATTCGCAGACATCTGCTGCGGCGGCTACAAAATAATGCATTGTCGATCGCAACTACTCAACTTTAACCTCTAAAACACTAATGCACAAAATAGTACGATAGCGTTGATGGCTAAACACATATTCTCTTTTCGTCGGTCATTTTTGATGATGATGTCTCACCTACTCAAGATTTAGTTCTGTTCAACCCAGCTCTACAGTGATACCAGTTAACTACAGTATTGTGATTATTTATCTGTTCAAAGCAAGTGTAATAGCCCAACGTCCACCAAAGCCTACGTGGAGAGATGTAAGCGATATAAACGAACTTGTCAAGTCGCTCGATAATGAGATTGCTGGACTTTACTCTTCCAAAAAGGCAATACCAGAAATCTTACAGATTAATCATACACTTTATACAGAAACTCTATGTTTACGAGAAGAGTACAAATATACAGGGACGGCAAAATTAGAAGGGTTGTTTATTTAGAGGATGTAATATCTCCGGATACATCGGAATCATTTCGGGAAATGGTTTTGTCAAGTGTCGAAGTCTAATTATTTTATTTTTTCGACCCAGTCCGCCTCTTACTCATCATTCCCATACTTACGCCAAAGCTGAATGGATGAAATATTACGATGTGCTATGTTTGGAAATAATCGATTAATTCCTTATAACGCACAAGTTTTTACAAAAAAAAAATCATTATTGGTATCATTAGATTTACATATAATAGAAAAAAGATAATATGATGGAATTTGTTTATTCTGTATGAGAATTAGCCAAAAAAATTAATAATTAATTTAATCATCAATGTAATCTTCCGACAGTCAACCATATTTAACATGCTAGAAAACATCTTATAGTTCATTATTTTCCGAATAACCTTGAAGAATTTTCAAAGGAAAATAAATCATCATAGAAATATGCTGACCATTCCCACTTTTTCAAGTATTTCTATCAAAATACCGTATTAGAAATCATTCGTTCACTCATTTTAGATTTTTTATCACAAAAAATAAATTATAATACTGTAGAAGAGTCCTCTTTGACTGTTAATGAAGCAGGTCCAACGTTTTGCGCCAATGTAACACACCTCTCGTAGGGCGTCACTGAAACAGGCCTCTCGTTGGGCGTCAGTGTAGAAGACCTTTCGTTGAGCGATGAAACGTTGGGCTGCAATACCTTGCTACGCAATTTGTAGCGATTCATAAATGAATACACGACTTGATTATTTTTTAAAAGACCGACTTTATTACTATTCAGCGCAACCTTATCAGATGGATACTGCAATGTATCGTGTTTGAATGGAGATTGCGGAATGAGTCACTTTATCCTTACTCTGAGCAATCTTATCAGATGGATACGATGTATCGTGTTTGAATGGAGATTGCTTAATGAGCGACTTCTTGAATTTTCTTCGCTCTTTTATACCCTTTTCTGGGTTACAAAATATGTTAATCGTTATCGATAACATTCTTAAAAGATCGATAAGATTCTAAGATTATTTACATTGTTGTAGTTACATTATAAATTCAAACTAGAGTTGGATTTATAGACTTAAATCTAGTTGGATAAATAAAGTAAATGAAGTTTACATCAATTCATAGTAATCTTGATTTGTTTAAAATAGTGGATTGCTTCAATACCTATTACAACAAACTTGGAAAATTTTATCTTTGACCTCTATTTTTAATGTCAGGAGATTTAAAACATCTTTATATAAAAGAAAAATCAAAATATTTTAAACTTTTTTAAATATTTTGTTGGGCATTCCTGCGTAAAAATGGTAAAACTAGAATGGGGTCCTTTCA